TAAATCTTTTTAGATGCATACGAGAGGGAGCGGCCGCATGATAGGACGACCGAATACATCATAGGGAGCAATTCGTCCATTTCCTTTTACATTTATGCATTTAATTCAATTTCGCATCTTGCATATAGAAATAGATTTATTTTTACGTCAGTCCCGGGACATGCATGCATTAATTTTGTTTTTATATTTTATAATAACTTATTTTTAAGTGCTTTTTTTTTGTAGGTAAAGCTTATGTGGAGACGAGGGCATCCGCAAAGATCCTTCGATCTCGATTTCAAATCCAAGGTAAGTGATTTTAATATTATTTTGTTGTTTCCTATACATATATACTAATATATTTTAAATCTTTTTAGATGCATACGAGAGGGAGCGGCCGCATGATAGGACGACCGAATACATCATAGGGAGCAATTCGTCCATTTCCTTTTACATTTATGCATTTAATTTAATTTCGCATCTTGCATATAGAAATAGATTTATTTTTACGTCAGTCCCGGGACATGCATGCATTAATTTTTTTATATATTTTATACTAACTTATTTTTAAGGGTTTTTTTTTTTTTGTAGGTAAAGCTTATGTGGAGACGAGGGCATCCGCAAAGATCCTTCGATCTCGATTTCAAATCCAAGGTAAGTGATTTTAGTATTATTTTGTTGTTTCCTATACATATATACTAATATCTATTTTAAATCTTTTTAGATGCATACGAGAGGGAGCGGCCGCATGATAGGACGACCGAATACATCATAGGGAGCATTCGTCCCTTTCCTTTTACATTTATGCATTTAATTTAATTTCGCATATTGCATATAGAAATAGATTTATTTTTACGTCAGTCCCGGGACATGCATGCATTAATTCTTTTTTCTATATTTTATACTAACTTATTTTTAAGTGCTTTTTTTTTTGTAGGTAAAGCTTTTGTGGAGACGAGGGCATCCGCAAAGATCCTTCGATCTCGATTTCAAATCCAAGGTAAGTGATTTTAATATTATTTTGTTGTTTCCTATACATATATACTAATATATATTTTAAATTTTTTAGATGCATACGAGAGGGAGCGGCCGCATGATAGGACGACCGAATACATCATAGGGAGCAATTCGTCCCTTTCCTTTAACATTTATGCATTTAATTTAATTTCGCATCTTGCATATAGAAATAGATTTATTTTTACGTCAGTCCCGGGACATGCATGCATTAATTTTGTTTCTATATTTTATACTAACTTATTTTTAAGTGTTTTTTTTTTGTAGGTAAAGCTTATGTGGAGACGAGGGCATCCGCAAAGATCCTTCGATCTCGATTTCAAATCCAAGGTAAGTGATTTTAATATTATTTTGTTGTTTCCTATACATATATACTAATATCTATTTTAAATCTTTTTAGATGCATACGAGAGGGAGCGGCCGCATGATAGGACGACCGAATACATCATAGGGAGCAATTCGTCCCTTTCCTTTTACATTTATGCATTTAATTTAATTTCGCATCTTGCATATAGAAATAGATTTATTTTTACGTCAGTCCCGGGACATGCATGCATTAATTTTTTTTCTATATTTTATACTAACTTATTTTTAAGTGCTTTTTTTTTGTAGGTAAAGCTTATGTGGAGACGAGGGCATCCGCAAAGATCCTTCGATCTCGATTTCAAATCCAAGGTAAGTGATTTTAATATTATTTTGTTGTTTCCTATACATATATACTAATATCCATTTTAAATTTTTTAGATGCATACGAGAGGGAGCGGCCGCATGATAGGACGACCGAATACATCATAGGGAGCAATTCGTCCCTTTCCTTTTACATTTATGCATTTAATTTAATTTCGCATCTTGCATATAGAAATAGATTTATTTTTACGTCAGTCCCGGGACATGCATGCATTAATTTTGTTTCTATATTTTATACTAACTTATTTTTAAGTGCTTTTTTTTTTGTAGGTAAAGCTTATGTGGAGACGAGGGCATCCGCAAAGATCCTTCGATCTCGAATTCAAATCCAAGGTAAGTGATTTTAGTATTATTTTGTTGTTTCCTATACATATATACTAATATCTATTTTTAATCTTTTTAGATGCATACGAGAGGGAGCGGCCGCATGATAGGACGACCGAATACATCATAAGGAGCAATTGTCCCTTTCCATTTACATTTATGCATTTAATTTAATTTCGCATCTTGCATATAGAAATAGATTTATTTTTACGTCAGTCCCGGGACATGCATGCATTAATTTTGTTTCTATATTTTATACTAACTTATTTTTAAGTGCTTTTTTTTTGTAGGTAAAGCTTATGTGGAGACGAGGGCATCCGCAAAGATCCTTCGATCTCGATTTCAAATCCAAGGTAAGTGATTTTAATATTATTTTGTTGTTTCCTATACATATAAACTAATATCTATTTTTAATCTTTTTAGATGCATACGAGAGGGAGCGGCCGCATGATAGGACGACCGAATACATCATAGGGAGCAATTCGTCCCTTTTCTTTTACATTTATGCATTTAATTTAATTTCGCATCTTGCATATAGAAATAGATTTATTTTTACGTCAGTCCCGGGACATGCATGCATTAATTTTGTTTCTATATTTTATACTAACTTATTTTTAAGTGTTTTTTTTTTGTAGGTAAAGCTTATATGGAGACGAGGGCATCCCCAAAGATCCTTCGATCTCGATTTCAAATCCAAGGTAAGTGATTTTAATTTTATTTTTTTGTTTCCTATACATATATACTAATATCTATTTTAAATCCTTTTAGATGCATACGAGAGGGAGCGGCCAAATGATAGGACGACCGAATACATCATAGGGAGCAATTCGTCCCTTTCCTTTTACATTTATGCATTTAATTTAATTTAGCATCTTGCATATAGAAATTGATTTATTTTTACGTCAGTCCCGGGACATGCATGCATTAATTTTGTTTCTATATTTTATACTAACTTATTTTTAATTTTTTTTAATTTGTAGGTAAAGCTTATGTGGAGACGAGGGGATCCGCAAAGATCCTTCGATCTCGATTACAATATCTAGGCTGGTCTGGCCCGGTATAATTAAAATATGGGCTAGCCTGGCCTGGCCCGGTATATTTTGAAACCGGGCCATGCGTGGGTTTTGGTTTTCAAGCCCAATTCAAAATCAAGCCGGGTCTATCGGGCTTGAATTTTAAAACGGCCTAATCTAGCCCAAAAAATATTACTCTCTCCCTCGCAAAAAATGCACTAATTTTTTGCGTGGCTTAGGGAGTAATACCAGCCTGAAATTGTCACAATTTTTTTTTAAATATGATGTTAACTTCTCAAATAATGGAAGCGAGATACCTTAAAATTTGCATCCACCGATATGCTGAAGTCTTTTCCTTAAAATCCGCCGATATGGTGCAATGGTGCAACAATAACCCTTTTCCCAATGCTTTCACATATACCTCCTGAAATTAAGAGATTAAGTAAAAAAAAACACAAATCATGTTTCCACTGGTCCTTCATATAACTGTTATTATGAAATTGCACAAAGCATTATTATTACGAAATACAATTTATCAAATTTTCTAAACTAAGACTACTTAATACCAGCTTGCAAACAATCTGTTCATATCATCTTTAATGTGCCAGCATAATATAAGGGGAAGAAACAAATGCCCGTGAGAAAATTATTAGCACAACATGACAACTATTTTCAACGTTTTAAATAAAATTTGACCCTTTTGCCTTATGGAAATATGTTCAACAATTATTGGACAACATATTAATATTCACACATACATACACATGAATACTAGAATTTTAGAACTGTAATTATATTGCAAGCCTATATAGGTAGTGCCCTTATTCAACTAGAATGAAAGTTTTATTGACCTTCGATTTAGTTGCAAGAAATTACTTACTGGGCAAACGGAGCAACTTTGAGATCCTCCTTTGATGAGTTTCACTTTCTTGAGGACAAACCTCACCGAGGCTTCCCAACTTAACTTCATATTTATCATCAAGAAGTATGTTGCTGGCTTGGACATCCTTCACTAATACAAACAATAAAATTTCAATTTCCCGAAATGAGAATAAAGTAGGGTCCAAAAATAAAAAAAGCTAAAACACAAATAGCATAGACAACTTAATTAAAGAATACACATAATCTTATGAGTGAGATCATGTACAAATCTAAGCTCACAGTTCCTGGATTTGCTCTTCAGTATCTTTGCACCTATTTTGTGACATCCCTAGGGTTTTTCTATATATACATTATGTAACCTTCACCCATGTACCATTCAAGGATTTAAAGACAAAAATTGGATTTATCAACCCCACATAATAAAGACAACGCTTAAACATGGCCAATTTTAAATAAAATTACAACTAATATATAAATAAGTTTTTAACAAAAATTACTGGGCAATTAATTTGCAGGTAAGCATATTTTTCTCAATATAGGTACAACTGTGTTGGATAAAGTATTTTTGGTGCTTGATACCAATATTCAGATCTTGTTATAAAAAATATGTTGCATATTTACGACTTTTGGTGTTATGCTGATCTCTTAAATGGCACTAAATATCTATGCACGTGTGCAATCACAATCCAAACCAAGACTAAATATTCTATAAACACAAGTTGAATGATATATGTAGGACCTAAATCAATAATATTGTCTAAAAACATGTAATAAATCAACAATGTCGAGCAATGTAAAGGAATAGAAACTGCCCGGGTTCCACTTATTCTTGTAAGAGTTGGGCCATCAAAATTTCAATAGACACCTAATAGATATCCTAATATATAGAACAAATGAAAAGATTCACATGCTAGAGAAATTACAGAATAGCACAAGCAAAATTTTCAACATCGACTACAAAGTGAGTTAAGTGACTTCAAATATATTATTTTTATCAAATAGAAAACTTCATATTAGCAAGTATAGACACCATAGGAGCGACAAAAATAAATCTAAACCTATCACATATATTTATGGTCGCTCATCGCATCAACCCAAAAATGGATCCGTAAAATAAATACTTAATTTCCAAATCTCATAGACTGTAGTACAAGGAAATGAAGAGTATAAAATCAACAAAAGCTAAACATATATATTATATATAAATGGTTGGTTAAGGAAGAGAACGAATGATGACTTGCTTGTGATGTAGCAACACACCTAAAAACTCAATCTGCAACAATGCATAAGGTAAAATAAAAATAAATAAAATAAAATAAAAAAGATTAAAAGAAAAATTAATGTAAAAATATACAACCAAATCTCAATGCATAGGGTATTAAACATTAGTTTGGAAAATACACTTACCCAAATGCCTCGTTGATATGCTCACCTGATTAATGTAAGCTGCCCCTAATAGAATTCTGCATTCAAAATGGAAGAGTACAAAATTAGTACTTGAACTCATATGGAATTAGTACTTGTTGCATACAAAACCAAGGGCATGACGTACAAAACATTAAACCTACTTCATCAAGAATTGTATAATCCCACGCTTCTTCCATTGTAAATGCAATCTCCACACAAGAATTTTATTTCTGCACAATATAATATGTTTATAAAAGCACGCCCTTTGTCCCATAATGAAGCCATTAGTGGATTAATAGAAAACAAATACGAACAACTGGAAGTAAATCAATCAATACAGTTGGAGATACATACATTCAGTTAGTGTCATAATGAGAAGTCCAAAATTGCTTAATGATTGTGCATATATAATCAAAATTTATAATGAGATCATGTTTACAGGATAAAGGAACCAAGCAAGTGTTTTTGGCTCAATACATAATGGAAGATATGTAACTTTTTCCATTCTTTATTTTAGAACAACTAAAAATTCAATCTCGTTGCAATTTTGAGACAACAAATATTGTCGAACATAAGCACCAAAGCATACAACCAGTTCAACCGCAAATCATTTAGTGTTATTTGCCACTGATTACATACATAAGATGTTTAACTTGCAAATCCTAAATTCTAAATAGTAAAAACCAATAAACCAAATGAGAAGAAATAGCAGAAAATAGTTTTATGGAGCCAAAGAGAACAAATCAAACCTTTTGCCTATTTGTCTATTATTTTTTGCTTTTGGTGAATTATTGGTGCAAAATGCAATAACCGGTATGATAGCTGACTTGCGACGTGCTTACGCCATCACGATCGCCCGGGTAAGAATTTCCGTGAAGGGATTGGCGCGAACCAGAGTGAGATTTCCGAACTCCAGGGGAACCAGACTGAGACGCCAAAAGCATCTGTGTTAATCTATGTTTTTGTTGTGACTTAGTTGTAGATCATTTCTATAGATATTGAAATAAAAAAATCAATACCTGTCATATCTCGATTTGCCTTCTTAGTTCCATTGTCTTCATGGTGAACCTCTTCAACTATTACTGCCCTTTTGAAGAACATTCATAATATTTGTTCTGCTTCAATAATGCGGCTTCTTTAGATTTACCCAAAAGGGGAAAAAATGAATATATAGCACTTCTCTTGTACATTTGTGCAAACTCTAACAGCTTACCTGTTCTTTGGCATTATTCCAAAGAGTAGAAGATATTGAGATGGATAAAAACTGGTCCGAACAGCTTACCTGTTCTAACAGCTTACCGGTCCGGAGCAGAATTGAGATGGATAAAAACTGGTCCGAACACTTTCTTCCATATTTCGCCAGGTTGAAATTTGAGTAGAAGATCCTCTCCCGCATAATGAGATGTGACGAATATCTGGTACGAAAATCAGATTGCATCCACAGAAAGTTTTTGGTAAAAATCACGAGAGAGGAAGTCAGCTCCAACAGCCGACAGGTGCTTACCGCAAGGGTGGTCGGGTTCACATGAGAGGTCAAGTCTTGTTTCAAAGGTCCTGCATTTCGATATTCATTGCTCGGCGCAATTTGCCAGAGCCCCAACGGTGGATCGGAGCTTATCCACCCATGCACCTTATTATCTTTGTTCTCAATTGAGTAATGGTATTTGTCATCCACCTGCACATGAAAAAGATCAACGAAGAAGACAAGTTAAAGGTATAAAGAAAACACATTCTTCAGCAGTATTTTTAAGGAAGTAGTAATCTCAGTGTACTTCTCCTTTAAATTCCAGGTCGACAGGATCAACAAGAAGCACGGCTTCAGGGTACTCCAGTTCTTGACCTCTAGGAGGCAGTCGATCTTCCGGCCTGGGCATGTATCTTTGCCTGTTATCTGATATTGCCATGTAATGAAACCTGGTAAAACCTACAGTCATCTAAATATCTTGCCTAACCAATTGGAAAATGGAAGGATAACTTGCCACGATAAAACAACAATGCAATGTTATTGTAGTAAAGAGATTCTTACAGGTCTTTATTGAGCATGCACGCGATTCGGGTGGTGTTAAGGTTGAAACCAGGGAAGTCTTCCAAATGCTCGAAAATAGCGTAAGAGTGGAATCCTGGGGAGCCATGAAGCATCACAAACCTAAAAAATCGACATGGTAAGATTTCGTCCTTTGATCCAAATGGACAAACTAAACTAGGTAAGGTAGATAGAACCTTCTGTCTATTCGCAAAGGAGATTGCTTTCCTTCAAGTGAAGGATCCCATGTTCTTGTGAATGAAAGTTCTACTTGCTCCTCATTTTCAACAATTACTTTCACACTTGTTCCTTCAATCCTACATAGCATAAATTTTCCACCTTGTTATGCTATATTTCTGTATTAAATATTCAAATTTCAACATGGTTAGAAATTAATATACATTATATTTAAAAGTATACACGTTTATTAAGTAGCATCTAACCATTAGTACATTCCCAAGGGTTTATGCAATTAATGCAGAGACAGTTCCAAAATGTTGATGAATTCAAGTTCTGTTACTTCACCGCTTGGTTTTGGTTTGACATCATTTATCAAACTATTTTCTAAATTTCTACCAAATAATCAAACAAAACACCTGTTTTTTTATTTAATATATTACATAAAATATTATTTGTATTATTCAAAACATTATGTTAGCGTTGATTCAATCAAAGTTTTTCCTATAGTCAAACTTCCACCCAAATCCAAACTTTAAATAAACACATTCCGCTTTATATTTCTGTAAGGTCTAAACATGGTTTTGTATACTTCATCAAATACCCCTCCCCCCTCCCCAAAAATAACCAATTCAAATATCTATTTTCATGTAACATATTACTAAAAATATCAATATCTCATTTAAATATCAATTTAAACCAAACAATGTTCCAATTCAAATTTTTACTATTCTCAAATACAAAACCAAACCTAAAAGGATCACACCTATTGAAAAGAATTACTACATTACATGTTATGCAGATGCATTTGGAGAGAAAATAGAGAGGCAGCATAAATAAAAACATACGTGTCGAAATGTCCTCTTGTTTTGTGGCTCCCTGCTTCACTCCAATTAAGGTCCCAAAACCTGAAAAATAAAGCCATAACAAGACATGTATAGCTTTCATTGAGACATTGTGTGTGTAGTGGAAGCTAACTTATTTTACTAACAGAGTGTTCGCGTGGATAATCTTCTTTAGTAAAACCCATATCATTAAATTACTTAAATGATCTACTGATAATGATACTACTTACCTTGAAGATTCAGCAACGTTGTTAACAACGCTACTGCATCTGCTTTCATGACCATAACATTCTCGAAATCTCACGTATTTATGGCACATATGACATAATTATGTTCGGTTCCAACATACTGATAATGGAAGCTAACTTATTTTACTAACAAAGTGTTCGCGTGGATAATCTTCTTTAGTAAAACCCATATCATTAAATTACGTAAATGATCTACTGATAATGATACTACTTACCTTGAAGATTCAGCAACGTTGTTAACAACACTACTGCATCTGCTTTCATGACCATAACACTCTCGAAATCTCACGTATTTATGGCACATATGACATAATTCTGTTCGGTTCCAACATACTCCCTGGCATAATAAATGAGAAGCACGTCAGCTTAAGTTAAAGATACCTAAGTTGTTATATCAATTTACTACCTGGTGCTCCAATAAATCAATAGCAGGCAGAGAAAACTCGCAATATTCACATGTCACAATCCTCTGTGGACAATTCTCTCCTTTGGGTACATCTAAAATGTCGCGGTCCATTGTTTCACTGCACAGAGAACAAGACACCTGCAAAGCAATCGAAATCAAGACAAATTAACTTGCAACAGCAATGGATACAAGTGCGATTGTTGGATGAGAAATTGAGAGCCAATAATGTATTTTGTACATTTGTTCAGCCTTAAGGATGGGTTCATGTTGTGTCTTTTTTCTTTTTTTCTTCCCACTTTTTGAAATATAACAATTATTTCACACATTTCACTATAGAGGCCATGTTTTCCCACATTAGAAGTTGAACAAATACTTGCTCTGTAATGACGTTTGTTATCTAGTTGTATGCATTTTCAGAGGCATCAGTGAATGCTCTTAGTAAAATTCACAGTAAACAACCACTTTGTCTTAGGGTTTGTTCACTTTCAGAAAATACTACACAAAACACTATGCAATTTAATTAATAAGAAGGAATTAATCTACCAACTTCAAATCGTATTAACCTAAAACCTAATTTAAACAGAGTTGAGTAAGGAAAAACCAAAAACAAAGCCAGACAAATTTCAACAGGGCAAATAAACCAGGATCAACTGATTGAATCATGGAGGAAGATAATCAAACCATCGATCCACAAATGTGACAAAAAGAGAAAGCAAAAATTATGCATATAAGGACGAAAAGTAACCGAGATGCATCGGAAATTAATTAACGTGTCTTGTTTCTCTCTTCGAACAGAAGGATTCTTCTTACAGAAACAGAGGAAATCGAGCAGCTGGTGGTAATCACATGGAAGCTTGGATTCCCAAACCGCATCCGACGAAGCGGCGCCGTGGAATGCGCTGCGCCAATTGCATATCTCCGGCAGCGTTAGGTAGCGGAACACAGATCCTCAGGTATGTCCCCTGGCCCCTGTTCGGTTTGAGGGTTTAGGAAGAGAGGGGAGGGAAGGGAATTATAAAATTTTGTATGTTTGGTTCAAAAATTTTTAGAGGGGAGGGAAGGGAATTATAAAATTTTGTATGTTTGGTTCAAAAATTTTTAGAGGGGAAGGGATGGGAGGGGAGTTTAGGGTTTAGGGGAGTCAATTTCTTTTATTTTATTTTATTTTTTATAATTTGGGGGAATTTGAAGGGGAATGATTTTATAAAAAGAAAATTATTTAATTATCTATTATACTATTTAAATATTTTATTAGAAATCTAATAACATCTTTCAAAATTTTAATATTTATTTATTTTATTTTAAATTATATCAAATAAATATTAATATATATTAAAATTATATTATATATTTTGAAATAATTTTAATTAATTTTTTTAACCAAATTTAATTATAATAATTTTTTAGTAAATTAAAAATTAGTATATAATTATATCTATAATACTAATGTTTTACTTTTTTTTTATCATGTAATATGAGTATATTATCGTTGATACGAGAATTTACATAAAATATAATTAATAAGTAATTAAGAAGTGCACTGGTAAAAATAATTATAGTTTAAAATTAAAATAACTAAATAGTTTAATTAATATTAAAAATTATAAATTATAAAATATAAAATATTTTTATAATATTATTAGTTTATATAATTTTTGGTATAATGTTATTATTTATGCGCTAAAACTATTGTTTATCTTTATTGGTAAATTTAATAAATAACTAATGTATAAAGTATTTGATTATTGGATTATTTGTTATTTTAACTAACTATTCAAACTCTACATTTAGAAATTAGAATAAAACTCCAAACAATTGATGTTGTTAGAATTAAAGCCCCTTGTTAAATATATATATATATACTCCATCCGTTCCGCGAAAATAGTCCAATTTTTTGGGCACGTAGTTTAAGAAATTTTAATTTATATAGTTAATTAGTTTGAATAGTTAATCTAATGTGTGTAATAAAATATTATATTAACTATTTTTTATTTGATATAATATTGAAGTAAATATTTTGTTACCAATACAAGAATCCCTAAAATATATGAAGTTTCCCTAAAATATATGAAGTTAGGCTCTGTCAACCTATATTTCATCAATTTTATTATCTTATTACTCGTATATATATGGGAAAAAATTAATTTCAATCACAATATAACCAAAATTCATCAATTTTGGTCTCAATATAAAAATCTTATCAATTTTGGTCCTAATATAACCAAAACTCATCATTTTTTGTCTCAATATAACCAAAACTCATCATTTTCCGTCCCAATATAAATTTTTTATTAATTCTAGTCCCAATATAACAAAAACTCATCATTTTTTGTCCAAATATAATCAAATCTTATCTTTTTTTGGTCCCACCGTTAACAAATCGACGGAAAATGCTGACGTGAAAATAAATCAAACTTTATATTTATATTTTTTAAGAAATTGAACAATCTTGTAAGTCCACGTCAGCATTTTTCGTCGGTTTGTTGACAGTGGGACAAAAAAAAATAAGGTTTGATTATATTGTGACAAAAAATGAGTAGTTTTAGTTATATTGGGACTAAAATTGATAAAAAATTTATATTATGACCAAGAATGATGAGTTTTGATTATATTGAGACAGAAAATGATTTTTTCCATATATATATATCTATTCTATAAAATATTACAGAACGTAAAATAAAAAGGTATTGAAACTTTGTTTTATTTTATTTTTTTATCATAAATAAATAAAATTAATGAATGGATAGATGTAGATAATACAATGGTTTGCAAATAAAATCATGACACGTAAATGATAATTAATTGATGAAGCCAAGGATGAATATAAAATTGGGAATAATATACTAATATTTAATTTAATAAAAGGAAAAAAAGGAGAGAAAGATGTGTGTTTTTATTGCAACGTAGTTATCTTTTATGTGTCATCATCAAACCTGGTTTTTGTTATCTCATAAATCAACACGTAAATGTGACATTATTAATTTAATCAAATAAATCCATATATATATATATTGCATAAAACAAAATTCACATATAATATATATATTTATACATATACATGCATAAAATCTTGTTTGTTTATTTATTTATCACACAATTGAATCCCATTTTTAGCGGCCCATAAATAATAATAATAATAATAATAAGGATAAATTGCTATAAGGTTTGTTTCTTTAACCTCAAATTTCAAGTGTTTTCTCAAAAGTATAACTTCTTTGTTCTATAAATATAGTCTTAATTGAGTTGAATACGAGATTCAAGGAATATTCATATTATATTGATACTGGGTAAAAAATTAATAGGTAAATAAAAAATGCAAAAAATTTGAATAGTAAATACTCAATTTAAGACGAAATGTGTAGTTGTATACGCAATTTAAAGATCTCCTTATTTTCTATGACTTAGTATCAAAATAGAAGGTAAATATTATTTGAACATGTACGTTACAATTTTTTTACAATGACATAGCAAGACTATTATGCCATTTGTTTCGATTTTTCCTTCAAAATTTCCGATGGCTACCAAACTAATGTGTGTATTATCTTGGCGAGGATTTGCAAAAAGTTTACTTATGTGTAAATTAAAGCGGTGAATATCTCGATAAGAAAAAATAACTCTCAAATTTTTTTTAAGCATTAAATTTTTTTGAATACAATGAATTCATTCTCGTGTGTGTGTGTGTTTTTTTTTTCACTTTTTTTTACTATTTAATTTTTAAATTTCTTTTAAGATATCATATTTAATTATTATTTTCCTATAAAATGGAGAAAATAAATATATATATATATCCAAATGCATTCGTAAAAATCGTTTACTTTGAGAAAGAGCTATCTTTTTCTAAATATTTATATATATATATATAAGTCTTCCATTTCATTAAAGCAAAAATAAATAAATAAATAAAGTGAGCACCATTATTGTTGGATTAGGTAATTGATTGATCCCGTCAATCTATGCTTTTCAAACCATATTTAATGTGAATTTTTTTTAATTAAATCATAAAGATTAAAATATATCAAGATAAATAAACCCCCATAATCATGTTCCAACTAATTATATATTTATTTGAAAATGAAGATTTTTATATAAACTAAAAAAAATTATTTTAATATAAAAATAAAATATAAATATTATAAATTTTTAATAAAATATAAAAATAATAAAATTATTTACTATAAATCAATGATATACTATAATATATATGTTATAAATTCCATATAAAAATATATTGACAAAGAAGAGGCCAAAAAAACAATAAAATTAAAATAAAAAAAAAAATCTCATAACAAAATATAGTCTTTTGTGTTTTAGTATATATTCATAACATATTTTATATTTTATTTATTATGTAAAATTCTTGTGTTAAAATTAAAATATTCATAAAATATTTTTTTTCGTCCAAAGTTAATGTTTGATTATAAACATATAAATGATTATAAAATTTCAAAATAAATAAAAGAGGTAAAATATAATAAATAACCTTATTTTAATAAAATAAATAAATAATTGATAATTCTTCATTATATATATATTTTTTAAAAAAATTAGGCAACAACTCATCTAAAAAAAATATTAAATAAATGATTGATAAATTATTTATTTTATTAAAAAAAACATTTTTAAGATATATATTCTTTATAAAACTCATCATTTTATAGGGAGATTAGCAAATCAGCTCTGGCTAAGAATCTGGTTTCACTGGTTCAACAATCTTACAAAACTCGAAATCGAATGCCGAAACCGAGGTCGAGGCTGGAATCGAGGAGGTTCTTCGAGCTACAGATTAAGAAGAAGGTGAAGCAGCAATATAGGGATGGGAAGTTTCACGATCTCATGTCGAATGTAATCGCCGATCCGAATACTCTAAAGGATGCTTACGATTGTCTCCGAGCATCTTCGAATGTCGATTTGTCGTCCGATAGCAATCCATTGTCGTTCGAGTTAATGGCGGAGGAGTTAGCCGACAGGAGCTTCGACGTTTCCGGAAATACATATACGATATCGAGCCAAGGCGCGAAAGTAAAGAAGTCGAAGCTCGTTCTTCCGGGATTGAAATTATGGGTTGTTCAAGAAGCTATTAGGATCGTTTTGGAGGTCGTTTCCCGGCCACATTTCTCGAAGATTTCGCATGGGTTTCGAAGCGGAAGGAGTCGAGTGTCGGCGTTGAAGTATATTCGGAGGGAGATTTCCGACCCCGATTGGTGGTTTACGGTTCTTGTTTGTAAGAAGCTCGACGAGCCTATCCTTCGTAGGATCGAATCGTTGATGGAGGAAAAGGTCGACGACTTAAATTTATTTGGGATGATTTGGAAGATGTTCGGTTCGTTCGCGAAAGGATGCGGACTTCCGCAAGAAGGGGCTCTCTCGCCGATACTCATGAACATATACCTCGATCTTTTCGATCGAGAGGTGTATCGATTATCGATGCGGTATACGATATGCGCGCCGTGCGAGAACACGTCGCAGTCGAAGCTCTGCGGCGTTTTTCGAAGGCAGGTAAATGGGGACGATCGCTAGAAAATCCCGAGCACGAGAGTCCAGTGTTGTCGATTCATGGACGAGTTTTTCTTCGCCGTGATGGGTTCGAAGGAAGTAGCGGTTGATTTCAAATCCGACGTAACAAATTTCTTGAAGAACTCTCTCGATTTGGATATCGAAGAGGGTGATTGAACGATGTTTTGGCGTCGAATGACCCTCACGGCGTTCGATTTCTCGGATTGTGTATCAGAAGGCGCCCGAGAGAGAATGACGGCGGCGGCGTTCGAGCCGTACATAAATTGCGGGACAAAGTCCAGATCTTTGCCGAACAAAAACGCAAGTCGTGGATCGAAGGGGAGTTTCAAATCGGGCGGAAATGGTTGGCTCATGGCTTGAAGAAGGTTAAAGAATCGGAGATCGAACAGTTAGCGGACCCAGACTCGACTCTTTATCGAATTTCCGATCACCGGAAACTCGGGATGAAAACCGATCACTGGTACAAACTCCTGCTCAAGATATGGCGTAATTTATGTTTTTATTTAGAATCAAACATGCAAACTTTATATTAATACAAGGGGTTTTATGCAATAAATAAAATACAAAGTGTTTTATGGACAACGTCTAATTCCATTTCGGAATTTTATATTATACTACTATTGAATAGATGAATATATTATTCAGTCTACATATTTGCCATATACTAATATTTATTTTAAATTTTTTTAGATATATACGAGAGGGAGCGGCCGGAGGATCGGACTACCGAAAAATAAAAAAGAGTAATGCCGTTAGATATACATTTGATTTGGGTGGGTCGTTAATTAAAATAATCTTACAGGCTGGGGTGGGTCCCGTCCTACGTGGAGGCCGTTGAAGTCATCCTTAAAAATTCGAATATATAAAATACTATATTACTCCTACATACTCCATTTTTAGGTAATAATGATGACAACACAGCTCTGTCTTAACTGTCATGTTTCTTAATGATGTTGAGGATTTATCTGTACGAGAATGATAAATTGATAATAGACCAGACCAGACCGACCAAACCAAACCTCAATTTTTTTATTATTACTATTAATCAATTCATTGATTGTAATTTAAAATTAATTTGAAATAAAATGTATTTGATTTTAATTCTTGTTTAAATAGTATTTTGATATGATATATATATTTTAAAATAAATAGTAATTTTTTATTAAAAATTATATAAAATAATTAGTGTTATTTTAGTTCAAAATTACAATAGAACAAACTCTAAATATTTATAAAACTATATTAATAGCTATAAAGCCAACGGAAACAAAACCGAAATATAAAATTGAATTTCGAATATCGCAAGCAATACGATCATTTACAATCCATCGTTACAAAATTATAAGTTTACAAGATCGAAAATTATACGAGTTTTGGTACCATACTATTAATTTTTGTTAAAATATCCTAAAATTTACTGTAATAAATTGATTCTCTCTATATATATATAGTATAAAATTTTGTAAAATCTAAAAAATATTGAGATCCCACAGCAGAATTTTGGAGCAACCCCTCCCTTCAGCTTCGATTCTTCTTCAAGAACTCCTCTTAAGAGTTTGCTTTTATACCATCACAATGAAGATACCATTTTTTTGTATCTCTTTTTTTTTTTTTCACCATCCACCTCACTTTATCTCTCTGCCACATCAACGTTGATGATATTCTGTTTTATTTTATACCTACAACAAAGATAGTTATTCTAATTTTTAATTAATTTTTATTCTCATACTCTCTCCGTCCCGCGAGTTTTAGTCGTGTTTCTTATTTGATGCAATATTGAAATAAAAATTGAAATATTTTTTATTTTATTTAAATTTAATGTTTTATTTTAAAAAAATACTATTATATTGAATGTAAATTATCCAATTAGATAAAAAAAAATTAATGAGAATAATTATTTGATTTGAAGTAAATATTTAACAAAAAATTCAATAAATATAAATGTAAACATATAGCTTAGTATTCAAAGGCTACTACAATTAATGCTACTACCAATAGCAGAGCAAATCAAATTAAATTTCAAATTTTGAATTAAAATAATTATTTAATTTGATGTAAATATATATATTAAAATAATATTTTGAATATAAAATTAAATTTTATTATAATATAATAAATGAAAGTGTATATATTTGATTTAATACTTTTTATTTTAGTAAAACATTTTAAGAATAAAAAACTAAAATAAATCTCACAAACAAACACACCCTTAATATTAATAAGTAATTTTAATTTACAAAATAGTATCCGGGCTTTATAGAATAACCATTCTAATAATTGCATTAATAAATGACGTACTTAATTAGTTGTTACATACCAAAAACCTACCAAATTTTATTCCAAATTTTTCTGATAATTAAGTTACGTGTTTATTTGTCACATTATTTTTTTTATTTCATGTTATTATAGCCAATAAAAATATTATTTTATTATATTTTATATTTATTTTAGTTATTTTAAATTTTAAAAACTTCATAGATATTTTTTTTATCTCTCTCTAAATAAAACTCTCGGTGCGCAGCCGACAATACAAATATTTGCAATAAACTAATAAAAATGATTAAAAAAGAAAAAAACTAAGAATGTTTTTTTGGTACACATGAGTCTACTTATTTATTATTTGTTAGAGTTTCGATTGTTTCATATTAGAATATTTTTCACTCTGTTTGCAATATGACGCTTTTGTAAATATATTTTATTTTTTATATTTTTTTTGATATTATTAATAAAATTTAGCTGATTCCTCGCCGATGCGCACTTCATTCCCTCGACAATGGTTGGAGAAATCGGCGGCGACAAAATCCTAGCTTATGTCTGCGCAACTCCGAATCCCATCGCGACTATCAGGTCGCGGGAAACCGTTGTAAGCAAATCTCCGTCGTCGCCGCACATGGTCTCGTTCTCCAGCCGCGGTCCGAGCTATCGAACCTCCGAGATTCTCAAGTCGGACGTGAATGCGCCCGGAGTCAACATTCTCGCCAGCTGGACCGGCTACGTCTGGCCAACGTCTCTCAACAGCAGTAATTGCGAGGTCGAATTCAACATCATCTCCGGCAGGTCGATGTCGTGCCCTCACGTCAGCGGCTTGGCGACGCTGCTGAAACAGGCCCACCCTGAGTGGTCGCTGGCGGCGATCAAATCAGCATTGATGACCACGCGTACAACGTTGACAACAACGGGAATAATTTAACAGACCTCGCCACCGGGGACGTGTCCAATCCATCCTCGGGCCACATCGATCCAAACCGAGCAACGGATCCCGGCCTGATCTACGACATCGATACCCAAAACTACGTCGCGTTTTTGCGCAGCATCGGGTACAATGTGCGGCAAATTACGGCATTCACGAAAGATTTGTCGATCGTGGATTGCAACGCAGTCGGGCTGAAAACTCCGGGGGATTTGAACTACCCATCGTTCTCAGTTGCCTTCTCCGGCTTTAAAAGCGTTGTGAAGTATAAACGAAGCGTAAGAAATGTCGGGAAGGAGGCGAATGCCGTGTACGAGGTGACAGTGCACGCACCGGACAACGTGGAAGTGACTGTGACACCGAGTAAATTAGAGTTCGGCGAGAAGGAAGATACTCTATCTGGGTCTACAAAGATAAGGATAAATCTAATAAATAAATACAATGGTAATGGTAATGGTAGTTAAGAAAACATTTCTTTTTCGTATTTGCAAAGCTTTAATCTCTTGGTTCTGTTGGCATGCAGGTGACCCAGGTTGATCTCCAACCCATCGCCACTTAATTTTTAATACGATTCTCGATTTATATTAAAAAAAATATAATACATATGTATAGTGTTGTACAAAATATATAATATATAATTTATACAATAAAAAATATAATAGTTTAACATAAAATATTACTCCCTCCGTCCAACTTAATTTGTCAACTTTTTCTATATCCGTCCATCTCATATAAATTATCTCTTTTCTTTTTTGGAAATATAATTATACACTTTAATCATATTTTAAAATTCATAATTTATAATTTTTTTTATTTTAATTAACTATTCAGTCATTTTAATAAACACATAATATTATAATGCGAAGTTATAAATGGTAAGTTTTTATATTAGGTAAGTAGCCGTTAAGCATAATAATTTTGATTTTAATTTTAATATACACAAAAAAAGAAATTATTTTAATTTTAATATACACATGTGAAATTATATATATGGTAAGTTTTATATTAGGTAAGTAGCCGTTAAGCATAATGATTTTGATTTGAATATTAATATACACATAATAATAAAAAAAAAAAGAAATTATTTGAATTTTAATATACACATGTGAAATTATATATATGGTAAGTTTTATATTAGGTAAGTAGCCGTTAAGCATAATGATTTTGATTTTAATATTAATATACACATAATATTAAAAAAAAAGAAATTATTTGAATTTTAATACACACATGTGAAATTATATATATGGTAAGTTTTATATTAGGTAAGTAGCCGTTAGAGCATACTATTATAAATATTCTTGATTTTGATTTTGTAAACATTATTATAAGTTTATGGGTGTGCAATGCAAATGCAAATGCAATGGGGTGGGGTACGAGCAGGGCAGGGCAGGGGGGATTCTTGGGGTGGGGTACGAGCAGGGCAGGGTGGGGTACGAGCAGGGCAGGGCGGGGGGGATTCTTGGTGGGGCATGGGCATGGTGTGCTTACAGGAGGGAGGGCGATCCAGAGATCAAGTGCAGTGCTTGGGAGGGAGGGCCATCCAGAGGTCAAGTGCAGTGCTTCGATCTCGATCGATCGATGCAACAGCAGCAAAGCAATCTGGTGAGTTATCTTCCATTTTGCTGGTGTGTTTTTCCCATTTTTGATTCTTTTTCACTATTAATTCATTCTCGAGGTTCTTGGAGGGGAGGGGATGATGGATGACATGTACTTACTGCCCTTCTTTAGATCGATTGTAATACAGACCATATGTCCGTAGATCGATCGATCATGTTGGTGTGTAGTTTAGTTTCTTTGCTAACTTTGAGTTCTTGGAGGGGAGGGGATGACATGTACATATGTCCGTAGATCGATCGATCGATCTTTTGCTTTTTCCTTCCTATACATATATACTAATATCTATTTTAAATCTTTTTAGATGCATACGAGAGGGAGCGGCCGCATGATAGGACGACCGAATACATCATAGGGAGCAATTCGTCCCTTTCCTTTTACATTTATGCATTTAATTTAATTTCGCATCTTGCATATAGAAATAGATTTATTTTTACGTCAGTCCCGGGACATGCATGCATTAATTTTGTTTCTATATTTTATACTAACTTATTTTTAAGTATTTTTTTTTTTTTTGTAGGTAAGCTTATGTGGAGACGAGGGCATCCGCAAAGATCCTTCGATCTCGATTTCAAATCCAAGGTAAGTGATTTTAATATTATTTTGTTGTTTCCTATACATATATACTAATATCTATTTTAAATCTTTTTAGATGCATACGAGAGGGAGCGGCCGCATGATAGGACGACCGAATACATCATAGGGAGCAATTCGTCCTTTCCTTTTACATTTATGCATTTAATTTAATTTCGCATCTTGCATATAGAAATAGATTTATTTTACGTCAGTCCCGGGACATGCATGCATTAATTTTGTTTCTATATTTTTACTAACTTATTTTTAAGTGTTTTTTTTTGTAGGTAAAGCTTATGTGGAGACGAGGGCATCCGCAAAGATCCTTCGATCTCGATTTCAAATCCAAGGTAAGTGATTTTAATATTATTTTGTTGTTTCCTATACATATATACTAATATCTATTTTAAATCTTTTTAGATGCATACGAGAGGGAGCGGCCGCATGATAGGACGAACCGAATACATCATAGGGAGCAATTCGTCCCTTCCTTTTACATTTATGCATTTAATTTAATTTCGCATCTTGCATATAGAAATAGATTTATTTTTACGTCAGTCCCGGGACATGCATGCCATTAATTTGTTTCTATATTTTATACTAACTTATTTTTAAGTATTTTTTTTTTTGTAGGTAAAGCTTATGTGGAGACGAGGGCATCCGCAAAGATCCTTCGATCTCGATTTCAAATCCAAGGTAAGTGATTTTAATATTATTTTGTTGTTTCCTATACATATATACTAATATCTATTTTAAATCTTTTTAGATGCATACGAGAGGGAGCGGCCGCATGATAGGACGACCGAATACATCATAGGGAGCAATTCGTCCTTTCCTTTTACATTTATGCATTTAATTTAATTTCGCATCTTGCATATAGAAATAGATTTATTTTTACGTCAGTCCCGGGACATGCATGCATTAATTTTGTTTCTATATTTTTACTAACTTATTTTTAAGTGTTTTTTTTTTGTAGGTAAAGCTTATGTGGAGACGAGGGCATCCGCAAAGATCCTTCGATCTCGATTTCAAATCCAAGGTAAGTGATTTTAATATTATTTTGTTGTTTCCTATACATATATACTAATATCTATTTTAAATCTTTTTAGATGCATACGAGAGGGAGCGGCCGCATGATAGGACGACCGAATACATCATAGGGAGCAATTCGTCCCTTTCCTTTTACATTTATGCATTTAATTTAATTTCGCATCTTGCATATAGAAATAGATTTATTTTTACGTCAGTCCCGGGACATGCATGCATTAATTTTGTTTCTATATTTTTACTAACTTATTTTAAGTGTTTTTTTTTTGTAGGTAAAGCTTATGTGGAGACGAGGGCATCCGCAAAGATCCTTCGATCTCGATCTCAAATCCAAGGTAAGTGATTTTAATATTATTGTTGTTTCCTATACATATATACTAATATCTATTTTAAATCTTTTTAGATGCATACGAGAGGAAGCGGCCGCCGGAACGGACCACATAGGGAGCAATTCGTCCCTTTCCTTTTACATTTATGCATTTAATTTAATTTCGCATCTTGCATATAGAAATAGATTTATTTTTACGTCAGTCCCGGGACATGCATGCATTATTTTGTTTCTATATTTTATACTAACTTCTTTTTAAGTGCTTTTTTTTTGTAGGTAAAGCTTATGTGGAGACGAGGGCATCCGCAAAGATCCTTCGATCTCGATTTCAAATCCAAGGTAAGTGATTTTAATATTATTTTGTTGTTTCCTATACATATATACTAATATCTATTTTTAATCTTTTTAGATGCATACGAGAGGGAGCGGCCGCATGATAGGACGACCGAATACATCATAGGGAGCAATTCGTCCCTTTCCTTTTACATTTATGCATTTAATTTAATTTCGCATCTTGCATATAGAAATAGATTTATTTTTACGTCAGTCCCGGGACATGCATGCCTTAATTTTGTTTCTATATTTATACTAACTTATTTTTAAGTGTTTTTTTTTTGTAGGTAAAGCTTATGTGGAGACGAGGGCATCCGCAAAGATCCTTCGATCTCGATTTCAAATCCAAGGTAAGTGATTTTAATATTATTTTGTTGTTTCCTATACATATATACTAATATCTATTTTAAATCTTTTTAGATGCATACGAGAGGGAGCGGCCGCATGATAGGACGACCGAATACATCATAGGGAGCAATTCGTCCCTTTCCTTTTACATTTATGCATTTAATTTAATTTCGCATCTTGCATATAGAAATAGATTTATTTTTACGTCAGTCCCGGGACATGCATGCATTAATTTTGTTTCTATATTTTATACTAACTTATTTTAAGTGTTTTTTTTGTAGGTAAAGCTTATGTGGAGACGAGGGCATCCGCAAAGATCCTTCGATCTCGATTCAAATCCAAGGTAAGTGATTTTAATATTATTTTGTTGTTTCCTATACATATATACTAATATCTATTTTAAATCTTTTTAGATGCATACGAGAGGGAGCGGCCGCATGATAGGACGACCGAATACATCATAGGGAGCAATTCGTCCCTTTCCTTTTACATTTATGCATTTAATTTAATTTCGCATCTTGCATATAGAAATAGATTTATTTTTACGTCAGTCCCGGGACATGCATGCATTAATTTTGTTTCTATATTTTATACTAACTTATTTTTAAGTGTTTTTTTTTTTTGTAGGTAAAGCTTATGTGGAGACGAGGGCATCCGCAAAGATCCTTCGATCTCGATTTCAAATCCAAGGTAAGTGATTTTAATATTATTTTGTTGTTTCCTATACATATATACTAATATCTATTTTAAATCTTTTTAGATGCATACGAGAGGAAGCGGCCGCCGGAACGGACCATCATAGGGAGCAATTCGTCCCTTTCCTTTTACATTTATGCATTTAATTTAATTTCGCATCTTGCATATAGAAATAGATTTATTTTTACGTCAGTCCCGGGACATGCATGCATTAATTTTGTTTCTATATTTTATACTAACTTATTTTTAAGTGCTTTTTTTTTGTAGGTAAAGCTTATGTGGAGACGAGGGCATCCGCAAAGATCCTTCGATCTCGATTTCAAATCCAAGGTAAGTGATTTTAATATTATTTTGTTGTTTCCTATACATATATACTAATATCTATTTTAATCTTTTTAGATGCATACGAGAGGGAGCGGCCGCATGATAGGACGACCGAATACATCATAGGGAGCAATTCGTCCCTTTCCTTTTACATTTATGCATTTAATTTAATTTCGCATCTTGCATATAGAAATAGATTTATTTTTACGTCAGTCCCGGGACATGCATGCATTAATTTTGTTTCTATATTTTATACTAACT